GAAAAAGAAGTGAAAAAACTAATGTATTTTTCTAATTCAATCCATTCTTACTCCTATAAAATGTATGAAACTTGTGTCTGCTTTCTTCTTCAACTAATAGATAAATTTATTGGCTATCGCATGATATAAAATATTTGCCTATTAATGTTAAGCTACCCACGCTTTCACTAGTTTTTTTAAAGAAGAGGTGTAAACCAAAAATTAAAAACTTAAATCGTTGTAATTTTTCGAGAAATGGGTCAGGCCCCAAATTTGAAGTATTTTTATCGATAAAATTGTCCCTAGATTTTGCCCTTAAAGTTTGATCACTACAAGCCCGGACACACTGTATAACAACTATCGTAACTAAAAAGTACCAGAGACGCATAAAGGAGCAGGAGTTAGAGCGCGAAAAATGAACGTGTACAGTCTCCCTGACGAAATATAAGACCGATGCCCGATTCTAGAGAATACAAACCAAATACAAGTTACTAAGCGTTGCCTATTAGTTTTACTAAGTTAATCCACAGTTAAACCACGGGTTAAACTCCTTAATAGAGTTACAATGTCTGCCCTCTACTAATACGGAGTGAATTGTATGAGACTGGATATAGTCATCGAAGATGATGGAGTTTAGAATCGTTGACATCAACGCTCACGCAACGCAACGTATCACATGATACTGCCAATTAAAACTAATAAATTTAACAAAAAAATCTAATTTCTAAGTATAAAAGTATACAATAATAATTTAAGTTTCCTATCAGAACATTATATGTACTATATCAGCACTTGCCAAATGTTGGTCTCGAAGCGCTGGTAGGTCAAAAAGATTATGAGACATGTTAATTGTGATGGCTCCATAGTTGCAAAACTTTTAGTCTTTTTTTAATTAGTCTTTTTTATATTTGAGGATTTGTAAGCACTATTTTTAATAGTCCATGCAAATAAAGGAATTTTGACTTTGACTTTGATTTTATCTCCCACACTAAAATATAATATTGTTTCTATGTATTTATTATAGACCAGTTTCATCCATCTGCCAAGTAATTTATAGTCCAAGGAACCACGTGCGAGGGTTTGTATCGTGTACCAGGAGCGCAGCGTATTCAGGAGGTTAGTTTGTTTTGAGGAGGTGGGGAAGCGTCTCCATGGTTACAGTATCTAGGGGCGTGTTTTCTATTAAAGCTGAACCTGTGTGTGTGTGTGTGTTACTACCACTAGGACATAAAATTGGCGCGAAGCGCGAACCGCCGTATTGTACTAGGATACATTTCGGGAACCAAATTCATTGAAGGTTAATTAAATTATCAGTCTTTATTGAGCATTCATTTTAATTAGAAAATAACTAGGCAAGGCTAGGCACTTCAAATAAGTAAGAATAAAGATGAAAAAAATTAAAAAAAAACATATGAAAAATAAATACATTGAATGTCAAAAGGCGGTGAAAATGTTTAGAAATTCCTAAAATACATATTACTCCTACACTGTTTTGGTATTCTTATTTGAAGCGTCGTCGTATAGCACTCGTAGACGTGAAGCAACGGCGTAACATTTCGTAGAGTATGTTTTCTTCAAAGATCGTAATTATTGATGATTTACAAATTGGCAAAAAAACATGGCTATGCCTTACAAAATATATTTTTCGTGAATCAAAAGATTGCAATCAATGTTGTTGCGATGTTGATGCGAAAGCAATACGGAACCATCGCTGTGTTTAAAATTTTAAATGGTTTATAAAAAATATATTAAAAATTTGATCTGACAAGAGATAATAGATACTCAACGAAATTGATTACATAAAGAAAAATAGTAAAGCTGAGTTGCACCAAGTAACTTTAACAGTAACTATAACGATAACCGGTGCTTTTTGTTAGGAGTTTGACAGATTTGTCAAAGTTAAAGTAAGATGGTGCAACTCAGCCTTATATTAAAACTAAAGTTAGGTGTTATCTTGCCAAACTAAACACCATAACGCAAATTATTTCGGATCGAATTGGATTAAAACGAAGGTGGAAAATTTGTTGCAACTTTTTCGTAATAAATTAGCCAAGAAAGTTGCTTCAAACTTAAAAAAAAATAGTTTTAAAGATATTTAATTTTTAAGAAATCCATACATCATACACCAAAATATTGAAAATAGAAGTGATAATATGAGAAAATTTTATGAAACAAGGTGTCTAATAACTTTTATTGAGCAAAATAATAGTTTAGTTTACACTAGAATACTTGCAAGTAAAAGAATTTACTTTTAAGTAATCCTTGTGTCATTAATACACTAAGGGCCGATTTTTCAATCGTCAGTTAACTTTTATTTGAAGAATAAACTTGTCATTTTGACATATTTCCCATACTGAAACTGTCAATGTGCCCAACTTATTCCTCAGTTAAAAGTTATCCAACGATTGAAAAATCAGACCTAAGTAGGTATTATTGTGTTCAAGACATGTGGATTACTTACAAGAAGTGAATAACTGAACTTAGTGGGCTGATCAACCTTTTCACATTAATTTATGAATGAAAATGTTGTTAAATCCCTACAAAAACTACAAAAAGAAATGTATACAGACAGACAAATCGACACCCACAAGCGGTGGGGTGCTTTCTTTTATAATTAAGCAGTTATCTTAAAAAATACTCTCAATTTGCTGTAGTTTTCCTACAAGTTTCCTCAAAAAACGGCAAAACATCGACGCGATCGCGTTTCGAGTACCAGGAGAACATACAACATGAGGAGGTATAAGAGGCAAAGGCAAGTGATACATCCCACTCGACGTTCAAAGTGGCACTGAGTAAAATTATTTTGAAAATCGACGCTATCGGGTGAAAAAGACAGATTTGATAAAGAGGGAAAGGTATATTCATTCACAAAACAGAGTAGCTTAAAGTGTCCTGCTGAACTGGACTGGACTCCGACAGTTGGTTAGTATGCCTTTCATTTTTGCCGCTAGGGAAAAGTAGGTACGTTTTTGCGAAAACAAACTGTGAAAAAGAAAAGGAAATTTTCTTATTCTGGTAAATTCATTTTCTAAACATACTAATTGCGAGTTTGATGAAACTTAACGCTACATAAATAAAAGATCTGACTAGTATCAGCTCTATACTAGTATAGATAAAGCCTTACAGAAATGTTATTTCATTTATTATTTGTTATTTTTATCATTATTTTTCCTTTTGTGATGTCATTTGAAAAATACTGAGAAAATAATCTAACAAGCAATTTCCTGAAAGATATCTAAACGGAGAAAATGTGTTTTTTTCGCATATTTTGATTAAACTAAGTAACTTACTTCGTTCGTTCGTTCGTTCGTTTCAGCCAAATGACGTCCACTGCTGGACAAAGGCCTCCCCCAAGGTTTTCCACAATGAACGGTCCTGCGCTGCCCGCATCCAGTGTTGACATATGGATCCGAAACGTGGTCGCTTACTATGGATTGTTCAGAAACCATGGGAAAGTAGAAATAAATCGTAACTAAAGAGTAAATAACGAAATAGTAAATGAGAGCGACTCATTTTGTTTTTTTGCTTTAAATTGCCAATTCATTATGACACCCCATAGAAAATCAATTTGATACAGAAACTGCGATTACTGTAGAACGATAATACTAAGAAATTTACAATAATTTAGTTACGTATCGCATTTTATGAAACAAAAATACATGAAAAAGCTAGGGTGGCAAACAGGTTTTTGTATGAAAGGTAAAAAAGGACTATTTTTAAAATATCTAAATATTTGGTAATAAGTAGCATTATAGCTATAATTCTTCGTTATCTTAAAGAATAATATTCATTAAGATAACGAAGAAAATTCAAAATTGTGTGTGTGTTTTTTTTGTGTGATGATTTATAAATATAAAACTTTTGAACTGTTTCAAAGCACACTTTTTTTTTTTTCAAAATGTACATTTTTTTTGAGAAATACTCAACTATAACCTTTACAATACTACCAATATTCAGAGTAGCAAATAGTACATTTCTAAAAATAAATGTCACCTACCCCCCTAGACAAAATGCACTTTTTGAACGAATCGAAAATCGAATCCGTCAAAACTCCATACAAAAATGGGGCTTTTCGACCACTTTTCGACTGGTTTGCGATTATAATTTGCACTTTGTCTAGACCCACTAGCATTTTACAATTTAATTTTCTTTTTTAGTAAATTAACTGGCCACAAAAACAAATGTCAATTTCTCTACACCTGCTTTAGTATTGTCATTTATAGAAAAGGTCATACTTTCTTTGTAATTTCCTTTTGCTAACATATTAGCAAACATTGCATTACATTTGACATTTCGTTTACTTCTAGTACATAAACGTAAGACTTAATTTAATTGGGTTTCACAGCTGTATGTTACGTTTAATATGCAACTTACTAATAGGAATTTAAACCTTAACTTGTAGGGAATAAGAGCGAGAATTTGCTATCAAGCGCACGCGCAAGCTGCGTTAGTTCAAAGCATCTGCCACGCAGGTGGCCATCTTGGGGGTTGTTCGAAGGGGAGACCACAATGAATGACTGTTCTTGAATTTTACTGTAGTAAATGCGCTTTTAGGGAGGATTGAAAGATGTCAAATATTTGGTGTCCCTGCAGTTAAATAAATAACTTGATCAATAAATTAAATACTAAATTAATACATACTTTAAATCCTAAAGCACACCTTTTTTAAAAACACACTTCATTCTGGTCTTAAAAACTCAAATAGTTTTAAATCAACTGTAAATAATTATTTTTGGTTGCTTTTTAATTGATTAAAATAGAGAGACCCATGTTTCTATTTTAGTTGAAATGGAACGCGATAGTTTAAAATCTTATATTGATTAAAAAGTTAGTCAATTGATTTTGCAAAATAGTGACGAGATCGGCTTGTATTGCCCTACAAAATCTATTATTATAGTTTTGACAGTTTTATTTATTTGGACAACCAACAAGAGAAACACATGCTTGTTGAAAATGAATTTGAAGTTTTTAAAAGTACGTCAATTGATTGGTAGTATCAAATTTAATAGGTACCCTATTCAATGGTACTCCCGCACCATAGACCAATATTCACGCTCTTCTCTATTGTTACAGCGCCTCGCACGTCGTGCACGGGCGGGACTCCCAACAACCTCCCACCGCTGGGCTTCCATAGTGTCCACGGGGAAAACGTCAGGATTTCCAGGGATGGCTCCATCGCGAGGCGAGTAGAGTCGTTCTGTAAAGGAGTCGCGTTCAGTGCCAGACCTGTGAGGGTCAATGAAAAGGTTTGTATCTATCTTCATCTATTACTTATTTACAATGTTATACTAAAGCCCGGTCTGTGAGCACGTAGAATTTTGTCCAATGACCCCAAGCTACCCATCCTTATCGCTCGCGCGTTATTATATTGCTGTCGCGACTGTGCGACGGGCGCCCGCAGTGAGTGTTCTATGTGCTCGCAGACCAGACTACATTGTATAGTAAGAGGAAATATTTGTATTTTTGTATGTTTGTAACGAATAAACTCTACCACTACTGGACAGTATTCAAAATTTCTTTCACCATTACAATGCTACATCATCTTTGGGTAACATAGGCTATAGCAGACCGAAATTCACGTTATAAAAAGAGCATAAATAATTCATTCATTCATTCATTTAAAAATACGTACTGTCTAATTGAGAACCTCCTCCTTTTTTGAAGTCGATTAAAACACTTAATAGTAGCCCTACAACAATTAGCTATCAATCATTAGAGTGACAGGTTTCTTTTTCCCTGACTGCGAGAGGATTTGTGATTCTTATCTGAGAATAAGATTTCTTAAAAACATTTTCCGTACCAACCCAAAGATTTTTAGATTTAAACCGGAGGTGTTCATCACGGCTATTTAAGTTCGAACTCGTTTGATCATTTGCCTAATATTCCATCTCCTCTCTTTCCAGGTCTGCATCCGTTTCGTCGAGATTTCGAACAGCTGGAGCGGCGTCATCCGTTTCGGCTTCACCAGCCACGACCCGGCGACCCTCACGCATTTGTTACCCAAATACGCGTGCCCTGACCTCACAAATAAACCTGGGAACTGGGCCAAAGCCTTGGGCGAGAGGTTCTGCGAAAAGGACAACATCCTTCACTATTACGTGAACTCCGCTGGCGATGTCCACTTCGGCATCAACGGAGAAGACAAAGGCCTATTTTTCTCGGGGGTTGACACCAGAAGCCCTTTGTGGGCGCTCGTAGATGTGTATGGAAACTGCACAGCAGTACAGTTCGCGGATCCAAGAGCCCCGAACCAAGTTAGAAGACCAAACCAGAGTCCGCTAGAAGAAGATAGACTTGTAGGCAGCATGAGATCCTTGTCAGTCGAAGAGGCGCTTCCTCCTCCTAGATACGCGAATCCACTAGTGCCACTTAGCTTGCACAGAACGAAAGGTCGAAACGTCCAGATGGTAAACGACAGAGGGGTCGCAGCGAGAACAGAGGCGGAATTCTGTCAAGGATACGTCTTCACAGCGCGACCGATGCGCCCAGGGCAGACTATCGTCGTCCAGATTCTAGCAACGGAGTCTGCCTACGCTGGCAGTTTAGCTATTGGGTTAACCTCGTGCGATCCGGCCACGTTAAGGCCCTGCGATTTGCCTGACGATGCTGAATTGTTACTCGACCGTCCAGAATACTGGGTGGTACGACGGGACGCGGCCAACGGTTTGCGCAGAGGCGATGAGTTAGCCGTGACCTTGACCGTGGATGGCGAAGTCCGAGTCAGCCGGAATGGGTCTACGCCTATAANCCCTATCACAGTTATGCACGTAGACCATACTTTGAGATTGTGGGCTTTTGTAGACATATACGGGGCTACGCAGAAAGTTAGGATGCTGAGTTCGCAAGCGATGCAGGCACAGACGCCTCCGCAACAGTTGAGGGTGATAGCGGGGTCTGCGGCTCCCATAGCGACGGGGGGAGGGGGCACCGTGCTGGTGGTTAGCCTGCCCCCGCAGAATGGGGCGCAGAATGTGGCCAACCATCAGCAAGGGCTGACGCTCGCCAGTGCGCATTATATTGAGGTGAGTTTCTGGTGATTTTTAATCACTTTTTCGAAAGTTAGGTCTATGATTTTTCCATACTAAATTAAAATCAAAATATCTCGTAAATGGTTGACTTTTGCTTAGTCATTATGTATATGTCATAACTAAATTGGTTGCAAGTGACCTGTACCTACCTTTACAAGGATGTTTTTAGTTCACTCATTACAAGTCACCCTGTATACTGTATCTTTTGTATTTTACCAAGCCATCGTAAATAATACTAACTAAACTAGCAAATTACTTTCCCCGAGTAAAGAATCATAACTATATCTAGTTTACCTTAAAGACTAACCAGTTTTCTCCATCTTTCCAGCCCATCCAAGCATCGTCACAGCTGTGCTTAGCTGGTCTCCAACCCATCTCCACTCAGCCGTCAACCTGCGCGCCTTGCCCGCAGCCGTCGTATCAGCAGCCCAGGCCCAGGACCGACGCACAGTGCTCCAGCCAAAACAGCTCCAATGAGCAAGCACAACTCCCCAACGGCCACGGGGAACCCCTAAGACTGGCAGAGAGAATAACCAACGGCCCCTCCACTAGCAGACAAATGCACCAGCCCATTTACTCAGTTATAGGAGAGGGCGCAAACCTCACCGGCACAGAATGCACAATCTGCTACGAAAATCCCATAGATAGTGTGTTATACATGTGCGGTCATATGTGCATGTGCTACCGATGCGCTGTCCAACAATGGCGGGGGAAAGGAGGCGGCCAATGTCCTCTGTGCCGAGCCCCGATAAAAGATGTCATTCGCACGTATAAATCTTGATGTGTGACGCCAAAAACTGACACTTTATTTCTCTATGTCATGACCGTATTACAAAGAATTGACATGAAATATTATGACAAAAATAACATATTGGAAATTCGTAATATATTTAATAATTTAATATATAATTAGGTTCGATGATTGTGATGATTGTTTGGGATTTAGCGGCATGTTCTTGACTTACGGCCCGGGGCCGTGGACTTTGCTCTCGCGATGGCGGCTAAAAAGTTTTTATTGTGTTAGACGTCGTCGCGAGAGCAATTTGTTAAGTGTTATTGATAAAAATCGACGCCAAAAACGGATTATTTACGTATCTTATTAAATTACACTAACTTATAATAGTTAGCGGGATAACTAAATCATTATTGACATTTAAACTGTATTTATTTTTCGTGTCTAATAGTTCTATAAATCTATGTATCGGACGTATAAAGAAACCATGACTGTAGAAGTCATGGGAATTCATCGAAAATCGGTTCGTGGTGGCGAAATTTGGAACTATGTATGTTTTGCAGCGTAGACGGTGGCGCCACTTTTGATATATCTCTTAGACGGTGTAAATTATAATGAGAGTTATGTATGAATCGAGGCTATGTTACTACGTATGTATATATCTGGTAGTTATGCTAGGTATAGTTTATGAGATAGGACTCCTCGTTATTAAAATTTAGCAAGGCAATATTTGGAAGTTTTTGGTTATTTTTCCATTTTAGATAATGGCAACACTGAACGCTTTTGACGTTTCGTTTTATGCCAACGTTGACTCGAATTTAAGGACAAATGACCTGAAACGACTAAATATTCGCTCTAGGGCCAGGCAGATAGACTTTTAATTCTGTCTAGGTTTTAATCTAGGTTTTAGGCTGCAAACGATATCTGTACGTCCATGAACGATCGGTGATAGTTTTAATGCATTTAATAATTTAAAATCATATCATATTTACTTTTTTAATGTTACCATAAGGGATTTTGGAGCTATGAAGTGATAGAATCTGGCATCGTTTATAAAAAAAATATTCTTAAAAATAACTAAAAACTAATACAAGATGACTACTTTTATGGCACAAAATTACTATAGATTTTTTTCATTAAATCTATCACTTCATAAGCTTTTATATTGGAAGGGAGTTCCTAAAATGATTTCTATCGATACTCCGCCTATTTCGATTGGATATTTAACGAAATGTCCTCGTAGATCTTAAGCTACTTTGCTGTGTTAAATTATCAGTATCGATCGCGCTGGAAGATCGTCTGAAATCATTTCGCGATATGACAATATCCTATTCAATAGCTTTAATATCAAGGCTTTATTGGATTATTTGTTCTTATTAGTAGACAGGATTAAACAATAATGTAAAGGCGCAATCGCCGTTAAAAAACGTTATTTTTTAATCCACATTATAACCTTTTTGATCATTCCTGCCTTGCTCAACTTTCTTTCTTATGGCAACACTGAAGCATATCATTAATGGCGGCCAAATATAAAAACTCTTTTATAATTCCTGACTTTTCTTGCTAATGATTTAATTTGTTAGTTTCATTCTTTTACTAATTTTCACACAACGATGACCGTGTGTGAAAAATTAACAGATTTTTCTTGATATTTGTTTTGATTACCAACATTTGTTTTTTATACCAAACCTTTGCAGCCAGTTTGCGTAATATTAGTTTATTTGCTAATTTATACGATTACAAGTTAAAATAAGAATGATTTTTACATTTCTTTGTATTATTAGGCACACTCCATTGTCAAAATGTATTCTACTCTGTTAAAGGTGGTGATACGGTTCATTTTCGCTTGCTCGTGGGAATTATTTTAATTGTTAACTGGTCAGTGTCCCATTCAAAGCTGAAATGCACTTTATCACCGCCTGAAAGAGCAGGTATTTCTTTGTGGAAACTTATGGAGTGATTCGCCCTACGATGTATTACTAATACAAGAACTGTAAAAATGCGTCTGCAAGACCGATATCTAAATAATATAGATAAATAATTTAGAATATCTTTACATTTATTTAGTAACATATTTATTTTTATTGTTAAGACGGCAAACCCAAAGGGCGACAGAGATAGCTGCTGAATCTCGTATGAAAGAATGTGATGGATGATTAGGTAGGGAACAGATGAACAGCTATCTCTGTCGCTCTAATAAGCAGTAACCACACTTTTTATACCAAAACAGTGCAAACAGTTTAAAAAGCAATACCACAACAATGTTCCAAGCCAAATCTTAAATAAGTTAGACCTGTAAATATTGTGTAAGAACGAAATTTTGGCGTATAATCAAAAATACATCAGAATTGCCAGTAATAAAAATGTTTCCCTATGTCTCGAATATACGCCAAATTTTCGGAGACCAAGTTGTATGTGATAATTTCTTTTTTATTATAATAATGACTCATTTTTCCGAGCTTGGTCCGTGTACAGCGTTGTCATCTAGTCGTTAGTAATTTATTTCCTTTTTTTTTGAAAAAAAAAAACCTTTGTAAACGATGTTGGATTTTTAGATTAAGTTTTCGAATAAAAATGGTTATCGATCGAACTTTTTTGTTTGTTTTTAACAGAATACGAGTATAACCTAAACGACACACAATTAGAATACACATTTTACACACAAAACTCCCTTTTTACTTAGGTACACACAGTAATTTAAATCTTTGTAAACAGTACAAAGAGAATAATAAATCGTATGATACTATTTAGTCCAGTAGAATTAGCTTTTAAATCGGAAATAATTCCTACAAAAGATTTTATTGTTTTAATGGCTTCATTGGTTGCCCATTAAGACTCTCCTAAGTTTTCGACTTCGACGGAGTTGTGCTTAAGTGGTGGGGGCCCCCGAAAGAGGCATTTTTTCGGTTTTCCGGTTATACCGCGTAAAGGACTTACCCTATCAAAAAGTGGTCTTCATGACGGTTGAAGGGCACTTAATCCTGCATTGAATAAGTAAAATCAAGTGGCAGTGGGCGGGGCATAGCTCGTAGAGACGATGGCCGTTGGGGCAGGAAAGTTCTCGAGTGGCGACCACGGGCTGGAAAACGTAGCGTGGGCAGGCCTCCTACTAGGTGGACCGACGATCTGGTAAAGGTCGCGGGAAGAGCCTGGATGCGGGCAGTAACTTACTTATTTAACCTAAAATATTACAATATATGTATTTTTGAAAAAGTTAACTCGCCAATTCATAAATTATTTTACGACAAAAACCTGTTAAAAGCTTGAAAGCAATTTTAGAAACCATAATTTTCCTTCTCCAATGGACTAAATATCCTACATTCTACACGAAATAAGGACGAAAATTTACTTAAATGTACCAGGGATACATGAAAAACAGAAGGTAACAATTTAAAGGAAATTAAAGTGACGCATTATTTATAAGCACCGTATCGATAGGTCTTTGCAAAGAATAGAGACAGGTGTCAAAGATAGAGGGAGAAAGGTAGGTAGCTCATAAATACTAGGAGGAGGCATTGAAGGCGCGGATTCCCGCGTAGCATCAAATCGTTCACACATAGAAGTATCTCTGTGTCAATACGCCTTTGCATAAATGTGTTGGTGCTAAAAGAGACAGATTCCCGAGTTGAAGGGAGAAAAGTATAGGCTACGAAATTATAAACCTTAAATGGTGGCTGAACGCAACATAAAAGCGATGCACCCTATTCACTACTCGGCGTTCGCGGGAGCAGTGAAAAGATTCAGTAAAGCGAACACAATACTCAAAACCCTCTGTATTTATCATAGAGCATGATTTCCATGCTCTGTGGTATTTATGATACGAGATGCTACGTCTAGTGGATAGATGGTAATAGAGACGGTTTGAAAGAGAAGAGGAAGCAAAGTTACTGTTCACAAAAATTATATTTACTCAAAATTTATCAAAATAAAATAAATCTATGTGATTTGAATTTTGTCTAAGATAATTTCTATCTCCAACACAAACAGGTTATCTTGTGCTAAAGTCGTTCCTTGGAACATACTCGATCATTTATAATCTATAAATAAATAAATAAATCATTTATTTGCTCAGAAACATGATACCAAAATGGTATTTTCATACCTAACTATTAAAAGAGTGAAAGGATATCACAGACTTGAGGAAGGTCCATTCATAGGAGCAAAAGGGATGGTTGCATCAAATCCATATAAGTACGAAACGAACGAAGCACACCCCAAAATGCAGCCAAGCTTCGGCCAGACACCTATTGATATACTCGTACAACTTCTATGGATTCCTGAACTCCTGGTACTTCACTCTGACCATAATAATATGCAGCTTCATTATAATCCCCAGAAAATGTTCCTCCGAATAGAATTTTAATAATCATTTAATTACGTCTAACAAATACAATTATGTAATAACTTTATTATTTTTGAAATTCATAAATTAAATGTTCAAATTATTATTTTTTTACTATGCATTCATTGCCACGAATATTTAATTTTGCTGCCTGAAATATAATTAGTTCATTAGAAAAAATAAAATTAATTACTATTTGAAACTGCTAAAATGCATTATAAGCAATTGATTTTATACAAAATTGCCATTGTACCTGGTCTCTTCCCCTATATGAGCAATAGCATGCACTATTATTTCGTACAATACGTAAAATGTAAATAAATGGTCAAAGAATAACTTCAATATTAGAAATTAACAAGATATTTTTAATTTCACGATGTATTCTTATCGGCTCGTAATTATTACCGAATGATTTAAGAAAAAATATTTTTTTTTTCTAAATTATAGTTGGACATTTTAAAAAACTCTAGGTAGGTATGTAACATCTTGAAACGTCTCCTTAGCCTTAGACATTTCTTATGATGCTGGATCAGAACCAGGAGCACATATTCTACTAGGAAGTTTCATCTATGACGTCACACAACACAACACCCGCTGCCAGTTCGTGGAAATTCACACACCAATGAAGGCTTGCGCCAACATGCATCGAGCCAGGCTCTACTTGTATACTCGTATTGTGCTCGTATATTCATATTCAGACCGTCATATACTACCTACCTCTATTAATATTATGCGTGCCTGGTATCGCGAAATTTTGTAAGACACTCTCTCTGGACGTCTCAAGATTGACTCTAGAATCTTGATCTTAACCAATTTGCGTCCTGGGGAATACACATTGCAACCGAGTGCAAGACAATTTTAGTTTTTTTTCAGCCATCTAATAATTTCAAAGGAAACAAAACTAAATTGTCATTAATAATAATATTTATAAAATATTTTGATCTTTTTTTTTGACAAGTGAAGTCAATTTTATTCAGAACAACAAACTAAATTTGTACAGGTAATAAATAAAAAAAAAAATTTTTTTTGAACAAAAATATTTTCTTTTTCATTTATTAAATTTTAAGGTATTCAGTGCATTTTAAGCACCTGCATATGATGCACTTGATTTAGTAAAGGTACCAGGCGTCCAGAAAGCACAAAGAGATGTCTGAATCCTAAACTCGGGAAATGCACACACAGACAAGGATCTAGATCTAGGTCATGTGAGATGAAACGATAGTTGAACATAGTGCTCTCACTTTTCACTCCTACGAGCTTTGCTGCAAGCACACAGGTAGATATATTTTTAATGCATAACAAACAGTTAACTCTTGAGTCTTTGATTTTATTTCTATGTTAAAATCATTTCCATTTTCATATGTTTTTTTGTATCATAGAAAATAATCACAATTGGTATTTTAGATTTAAAAATGTATGTAGATTGGGATTCTGTTAACACTCGATATCGAGAATATCGTATAACGAAATTGTACTGACATTAATCATGAGTTCTTTATACCATTCACGATATGCATTCACAATTCCCATACATATTCAGTGCAACATTGTATAGATAGTTTTCATTATTTATGGAGCGAAAATACCAGGAGGACATAAATTCGAAGAGGTATTCCAACAACGAAGCCACTCAAAGAAGAGTACCACTTATAGACCTCCTGAAAGCACTGAAACTAAACGAGATGCATATATGCCGGTCAATATCGCCCCTGCACCTCCACCCCCTACAACTACAGTTGAAGCTCTGACCCAGTGGGCTGAGTCTGTTGATAGAGCCGGTGGGCCTACCGCCATTTCTTACTGCAATATTGTTTTGAACATAATATTGCTTATCTTTAATCAGAAAATCATTTGCCCCGACTGACTCAGTTGATCGTCAACGCAATACTTGATTTATTAAGTTAAGTAAATGTTGAATGGTTAAGTGACTAAATTATTATTTAAGTGGTACTTATTTTAGAGAAAATAAATCATCTCAGTTATACGTTAAGCTAAAAAATAATATGTATCTCATTATTATCTCTAATATCTTAGTCCGTTAAGAAAAATTATGGATTTTCTTCATACACAAGCAGTTATTAGAAGCTAAGGCCACTCACGATGAAAAAAATTTTTTTTTTGCCATTATTTGCAACCTTTGGATATAGTGTTAGAGGAAACCATACATATCAAGCAATATTAAATGCATTCTGCTTCTTATGCATTAGGTTTCCATGAGTAAGAAGAAGCTTTCTTAGATTTCTACCCCTGACCAACTGCACACATCGAAGAATGCGCACATTGCCACTTGTTTGTACATGCATAATGTTGAAAAGAGAGAGCGAACAAGACTATCCCACTTGCACTTTGGCCTTGACACCCTTATCAGCAATGAAGCATTTTTTTAAATTAATCCTAACTATAATATTATAAATGCGAAAGTAACTCTGTCTGTCTGTCTGTCTGTCTGTCTGTTACGCTTTCCCGCTTAAACCTCGCAACCGATTTTGATGAAATTTGGCATAGAGATAGTTTGAGTCCCGGGAAAGAACATAGGATAGTTTTTATCCCGGTTTTTGAAACAGGGACGCGCGCGATAAAGTTTTTCTGTGACAGACAAAATTCCACGCGGGCAAAGCCGCGGGCGGAAAGCTAGTAAAATATAATATTAAATAAATAATTTGCACTTTAATCCACCTCATCAAATATAAAATACTTCTCAATTTTTTTTCCAATATTTTCAACGCTTTTTAGCTACGAGTAGATCTGAACGCAATTCGCATGCATTGCACTCAATTCGTTGCACCCCTCCACCGCATCTAAACTGCAACAGGCGGTTTTTGCAACGAAGTACCAGGCACTCATGACTCGACAAGAGCTAACCTGTGACGAAGTGCACTACATATGATGGGTCACAAGGAAGTACTTATAGGTAAATGCCTGAAATCGATAGCACCCACACATTGGAATTCAGACTGGCACACATTGCAATCAGTTTGGGGTAGGTTTGTCCCTAGGAAAGAAAGGGACAGCATGACTGACCTTGCAATCTATTTCACTTGCACCCAAAAGCAGATGCATCCACGTAGCATATAACATTTATTTTCATTATTCTGATACGCGTACTATAAGCTAGAAATAGTAAGAATTATTATGAACTACTGCCATAAAAGTGAATAATAATTTTAAGATTGAACAGGATACTTAGGTACTGTGCCACGGGTAAACAAGTAAATAGGGGAGAGTTCGGTATATTGTACCGCCGGGTA